CCGGGGGTCTTTCAACCCAGGGAACAGTATAGAGCATAGCAGGGTTTTCGTCTGAAAATCTACGTACAAGATGTCTCACTACTATGTTATAATCAGGCCTTGTATCTAACTGCATAATAACTTTCGTGCAATAACCTGGAGGAAGGAGAACTGGCAGCCAACTTATTGGGGGACTAAAGACCCCCCCCCCCCCCCACACACACACACACCTCCGCCAGCCCACCACCCCGGTTTGTACTCGGAAATACATTCATGTAGTTCATGTTAATCCAATTTGCAGTAGAAGACAAAGTGTCTAAGATAAGGAGACTAAGTGTCTTTACCAGTCTTAATAACATATTGTCTGCTTCCTAAAGAATGACTGTTTTCGTCATTCCACTGCATCTAACACGTAGACACCGGATATAATCAGGACCATGACCACTTATCCATCATAAGGTGTGGCGGCGGTTAATGACATTATAATGCTCGTAACCACAGCTTCAAAAACACGAAGGGATTGGGGATATGCACATTAGACAGTCATTCTCACGCTATGACGCCAAGCCTTTCTCGGCACAGTTGAAAATATTGATGGTGATTGGATTTTCCATCTTAAGCTTGCCTCTTTTATGTTAGTTCGTGACAATTGATTAATTTGTACTATTGACAAAACACTTTATATTACAAGATATAAAGATAATGTTCTTCTCAGAAAACCTATAACTACTGATTTGTATAGTCAGCTTTTCATCGTTTGTTTGACCAAACTTGAAGGAGTTCTTTGTAAATGTCTTTGAGTGCATTTCACGTGGACATGTATTTAACCGAAACGCCAACATTTGCGATAGTGGACTTTTGATTACAATGTGTTACAAAGATTAATAAAATAATTATATAATTATTTTTTTTATTTCTTTTTTAACTTTAACTAAACCTTATTGCATATTAAACATGCATTATGCAATACCTACACTTGTCTATTGCAGGACTGATCTTTCTTTGGGCCTTAAATGTTATTTAAATAAATTATTAAAATTAGACTTTATTAACATGACAAGACGTTAATAAATTCTCGATGCAATAATTGGATGGCTTCGATTTTACGTAAATTAGAACGATTCGGCCATTTAATGATTTAATTTAAAGATAGGTTGCCAGGCAATGAAACATACGCCCACAGCATACGTCCGGGCAGTCACCAAGTCTTAGTGGTGTCTCATATTTTTTCTTCTGTCAGTAATGAGAACATTTACAACACATGAAAATCTGATTACAAGTAATAACCCATGAAGTAATTATCAAAAACCATTTGTTTCGATTGTTTGCCTCATGACCTTAAACAATTTATATTACCTTTAGCCTCTAGAGTGCCCACAAGATTTTTGAAAGTGGTCTGGCAGTAATTATCGGATATCGTTGAAAATTAATAGGATTCTTTTCTCATTATCCCAAACACTGTGTATAAGTTCAAAGTCAATCAGATTTTAACTTTAGCCTCGAGGGCTTCTACAAGTTTCTTCAAACGGATCAAGGGCCATAACTCCGTAAGCAATTATTAGAAATCGTTGAAAATAAATAGGATTCTTCGTCGCATGGCCTTAAACACTGTATGAATTTAAAGTCAATCGGATATTTAGCCTCTAGGGCGTCCACAAGATTTTTCAAAGTGTTCAAGGGCTATAACTCTGGCAGTAACTATTGGTTATCGTTGAAAATCAATATGCTTCTTCGTCGCATGGACTTAAACAATGTGTATAAATTTTAGGTCAATCGGATATTAAAGATACATTAGTTAAGAGTTTATAAAGAGTTGACCATTCTTGCTATTTTTCCCAAATAGATGATAAAAATAGAAAATATTGAAAATGTTGGTCCAATTACTTTATTCTCAACGGAGATGTCACTGTTGGAAGTTTGGACTAGAAATAGGCATCAACTGTGTCTGCGCCGTGTACGAGAACTGCGGATCGTTTGATTGACAGACGAGTACTCCACCCACATATTCTCGATTATCAAGTAACATTCTCAATGGCTATGATACCCTCGCTTGACAGGCCTTTCATCACCAGTCTCCCGTAGTGACGTCAGTGACTAACGGTACACTTTAGCTTGGTCCACCATTTATTAATTTAATTTTAAATGGGCGTCTGTTTAAATCCAAGCTGTATCCAAGTCATCCGAGGGTCTACAGAGTTGATTTTGAGCTTGACATGTACAAAAAAGGTCTAATTAATAATTACTAGTGCATCTGAAGTCTAAATAAAGACTTGCAATAGGCAGATTTAGCTCTTGCATAATGTATGTTTAAGTGAGGAACTCTCTCGGCCATCACCGGGAGCGACCCCCCCCCCCCCCGTTAGACATCGAGGGTCTTACTCACTGAGCCACCGCGACTTCCAATTGTGGAATGAAAATACTCTGGGTACAGACTGATTGACTTGTATATCAAATGGCGAACTTTGGGCAAATGATGGGTTAATGAGAAATTTATTTACAGAAATAAACTTTTACGAATTCAATCATATCCAACATATATCATTTTGAGAAGTGAAATAATAACCATACATATTATGATACGGTACTCAGTCGGTCCAATAAAGAGGAATAAAATGATAAAAATACTTAACAAATGCGACACCAAAATTAACGGTTTATACAAATAATAAACTGATCGAGTAGTTAGAATATATTCTGTCAGAGATTTGCATAAATACAACACAACAAAAATGAATCAACGGGATATAGTTCTCGGGTAAATAAATGGATGCAAGCTATGTGGTTCTAAAGGGCACATAACTCCTTTTGTGAAAAACATTTTTGGTTCCCCGTTTCACTCGGAACTCATTTTCTAACAACACGTTATTGATTTATCACGTTGAGAGATAGTGTTTAATCAACCCACTTTTTTATCAGTAGTACTGTTTTACATCTTTGATTTGGTTTGTATTTATCTACCCCTATTTCATTGTATACTTATTAATATACTTAGGTATGTTGAGTGATATACTGTATATTGTATGTATGCCTATCATCTGACTTGCCAAATGGCACAGTGATTTTTTTGTCTATTTTGTCCAATCTTGACACTGGGAACTTAGCTCATATTAAAGACAGAAAATTAATTTACACAGTTAATCAACATGCAATCCCATGCTCCATAGATTTTACAAACATCCATATTATTAACCACAACATTGCATTGTACAATTCCGGAGCAAATTCAATAAAAGCAGGGGAATTTTAACCTATTTTTCCCGCCAGTGTTAGGCAGAGAGTTCATCTGAAGTCTGGAAACTTATCAGACCATCATAACCAAATACAGACAAGGGTTGCTCAGGCTTATTACCCCACCCCGATTAGCCAAGCTGCACATGTCTGAACTAAAACTGATGTAAAAAATTCCAGCGAAGCAAGCTTTAAACCATTCCACAATAAACAGAAAATAAAATCCTGAGCTATGATAATATTATATACAGCAAAAGCTGAGATCATTTCTTGTGTGTTCACATTTTATTTACAATATCATTTATGGGTAAGCCCCAGATATATTTTAGAGAATAAAATTGGTTTATTATTATTATGTGTGAAACTTTCTATGAAACATGAAGCTCTGTGATACTTTTTCAAAGAAACACAAACATTAAGTTTCCATGTGGGCATTAAATCCCATGCTATACATAAGTGCTGTATAACCATGTCTATACTCTTGTCAAAATTGTAGTGGTTTGTAATGTAATTGTCACAACTAAAAAGTCACTCTCGAAACAGAGTGAAATTTCTTTTATCAGTTCAGTAACCCCTTTAAGCAAATCTGGCAATCATATCTGAACAACCCAATATTTTAACTCTCAGACGCCATAACTTGGCTATTTCTTCATATTTTGGAGTTTGGTTATTTTTGGTATCCGAAGAAATATCTGACTCTCTTTTAAGCTTAAAAATTATAACAACGGAGAAAGCAAAGTTTTTATATGTTTGAATGAATAAATGCATATATTATTTGACACAGTAACCCCCTTATAAGGTAAATGAAATTTAACGTCTCTACATATGGTAATTTTCTTTTCTATGGTTATTTTACTTAAGCAAATTTTGCCCGGACAGTGGAGCTTCTGTTCACTGTTCGACTCTGGTTGCATGTATGAGCAACTAGGCAAGAAAATTTGACCGTGGGACATTTTAGTTGAGATGCCAGACCCTTTAACTTTTAAGGGAAAAGACCACAGACATTGATTAAACCCAGTTTTTAATCAATGCTTAATTTATTAATTAAACATATATAAAGATAACTGATTGTAATATAAGACATACATTTGCATTCATTCAAAAAATTCAGAAACTTTACAATATCATTCTTCTGGAGCTTTATCTTTAATTTGTAATTATATATACTCTAACTTTCCTTTATCACTACCACATTCTGTCTGTGAGAGATCTACTGGTATAAGTCAATCATACTCAAAATGGTTATATTATCTAATAATAACCCAATTAGAATCACACTTAGGTTTTAAAATTCCAAAAATATACTACCAAACACAGCCCAAAACAGACAAATTGATTGGTCAATAATGTTCACATGACCCAAATGCTGTTGGCTTTAAAAGAATTATGTCAGATGTAAATTCTACAGTATCAAAAAATAAACAAAAAGTGATGAACATTTGATTATAATAACATTACTTTGCTTAATAGGTGGCAAATATAGCACACAAAATGCCTATATTATAATCTTTAAGTGCAACAAAAGCGAAACAATATAAAACTCTAGCTAAATAGATATAAATAATTATACACTATACAATTAGAAAAATGGTGGTAAAACGTTGCATATATGTACAGAAGTTATTCAGTATAATAAATTCAGTCATGCTGTACAGATATTGTATAAAAGGCTACTAACAATGTTTAACTTTAAGCACTATTTTATAACAGGTTAAAAGGGTGGTTTATTTCAAAGGCAATACTATGTATCAGATAATATAAACAATCTTTCTTTATTTAAAGACATTTACATAGCCAGATTAAGGGGGATGCAGACTGGACTGCAGCCAGGAACCTCAGTATTAAAGGGGCTCTCCAGATAAAATAACTTATGGTATTAATTATTATGTTTGTGCCAAATAAATATATCTATCTACCATACAGACAAACAAATTGTGTGAGTGTGACGGACAATAACAAAAAAAGGCCCATTTTCACTGTTCAATGTCAGGGCCTCAGTGACATTTCCAGCCAGGGACCTATGCAAGCTTAATACGGCCGCAACTATACTATCATAATTGGATTCCAATGTACGATTGATTACTTTATCACATGAAACTAAACTTTTGTTCCACAATTTTAATAGAGCAAATAACAAAGCTATAAATATACCAGTAATTAAATTTAAATATTTAAAATAAAACATGCCTAACAACAAGCAGTGCATTTTACATTAGTTTGCGCCTTTTTGTCACTTTAACCTCAATATTTATGAGTAAAGGGAGATAACTACATATTACACCACAGTTTATTTCAGGATATTTCTTGAATTGAGAAAACTGTTCAAATTTATACTATATTTCCATGTTCACATTACATAATATTTCATACGTACATTTGTATTGTAAGCTGTCCTGAATGGACATTCTGATACAATAAATCTATCACCAAATCAATTACAATCTATAACAACGAATGCACATAATTTCATATTCTTTGAATTTCATAACAAATAAATAATAATTACATTTGACACCATCTTCAACACATACCAGGTACAAAACCATACATTGTATGGTATAATGTCTATAATGGAGTTAATCCTGAAAGTTTTGTTGATGTGAAAAATCCCCCATAAACCGAGGTACATGTAATTGGCGAAAAATGGGAATGATATTTTGTTAATCCTGTCCTGAGGTCAAAGCTAACAACATCTTGAGTTGAACCGACCCCTCCAAATACAAAGACACAGCCTGTATATTGGATAAGACCAAAATAATGTTTCTTAAGGAAGACTTGGATTTGTCCTAATTTTTTAAATCTGGACTCGTCTCCAAAAAATTCATACACACAGCCATCGCCACATACTACAATAATACGATTATCACAGAGAACACATTTTGGCATCACAAATCTTTCCGGTAATGTAGGTGAATTAATTAAATAACAATCCAGAGTTTCTGTATCAAAGCATTGAATAGGAACTGGGTCTGGAGAATCTGTAAAGCCACCGAATATGTAGATTTTTTGATTCTGGAAAGTTGCCGTCATATCGGATACAGCTACTGGCAGTCTTCCATAATTCTGCCAATTTGAACTCCGTCCTCGTTGTTCGTCAGTATCTAACATCTCAACGGATGATAATCTTTGGTCATTAAGGTTTTTACCACCAATGGCATAGAGACGAAACTTGATGGCCACTAGACAATGAAACATTCTTGGAGTGTTCATCTGTCTACGTTTAGACAAAACTTTCTTGCGAACATCTAGGAATGAAAGACCTTTACAGTTCTTGGGACCCCCACTTATGAATATACCATTATTGTAGGGACACACAGCGAAGTTTGTGCAATCTAACAGTTTCTCATGAAGAGCATAGTTTAGTTTGTACCATTTAGTTGTTAGTAAATCAAACATATGAACAGTGGGATGTGTCTGGGAATAACTTCCATCATCTCTTCTATCTGCCTGACAACCAACTATACAAAACATATTTACTTCTTCTGGATGATGTCGAGGTACCGTTCTAATAGAAGAATATGTATGCCTAAAAATAGAAATATATAAAATATGTTACATTAAAGTTAAAGCCCCTGACTGCCCCTTGAGGGATAGTGATTCCCCTGTAAACTTCAATACCCGGTATTGTAAAAATTGAATCACAAAAAAAAATATCTGTCCAGTTCAAAAATGGTTCATTTTAATTCAGTATTTATAACTTTAGATATACTGTAATGTTTAGAAGATTTCACAAATTTCAGCTTCACCAGAAGGCGATATAAGGTAGTCAGTGATCTATCGATGTGGCTCTTTTTATATAATTATTTATGGTTAATATTTTGGTTTGGTTTTCTTGATTAAATGTTATATAATCATATTTCATTTCATTTTGTTTTAGTTGTCTTTACTACACTAGGATCTGGAAGAGTTGTTATATAACCTGTGTTCTGATTGATGTGAGAGATTAGCCAATGAAACTGTCTGTTGCAGCCAGTTCTTAGCGTATGATGCTTGGAACTGTGGGTATTCCACTAGAAACATGAACGCTGATTGGTTAACCAAATGTCTGACATGATAGGTCAAAAGCCACTTGTATGACCCCTGACACGACCTCTCACTACAACTAGTCCAAAATTCATGTAGTAGAGGCCAACAAAAGTATAAAAAAAACGAAACGAAATATAGATTTGTATTTAATCAGATTGAGTATTGATAATCCTGACATTGAGCATCTTTGGAATTATAATCAGGATAAATAATGACTTAGAGGGATGGCATAACAGGATCAAGTTGATCCGATCAACCGAAATGCAAGGAAGGGGAATTTACAATTCTACCTACTTACCGGTACAGAATTGTGTGTACACATAATTACCTACATGTATCAGTTGATTGAGTACAACACGTATATACAATGAGCATGCAATGAATTTGTATCCTGCTACGTGTAGGCCTACAGTTATCAAAGTCTATATCTTTTATTTTCCACCTAATTAACTAAAATTCCATTCAAATATGGGTCACCGAAATTTTTTTAAATCTCTGAGTGTAAAGTACCAGTACTGGTTTAGTTTCTAGTTTTCAAGTAAAATCAAAATTGTGATCCATGGTGGAAAGAGAACTGAAAGGTTATGGGGAAACAAATTTTTGGTTAACGGTGCTGGTCAATACACACAAGATTCACTTGACAAGGACAGCTGTCTAATCGTTCGGATGGGACGAAAAACCGAGGTCCCATGTACACATTGGCGTGCACGTAAAAGATCCCTTGGCAGTTGGAATTCGATATAATAAGAGTAGGCTGTAGTGCCGCTGCCCGGGCAAAATTTCCCTCATAGCACACTGTATGGCGTAGTTTAGGAGCAGAACAGTAGGACGTTAAACCCCATTTCATTTCAATGTGAATGCATTAATGTTGGAAATTCTGCAATACCCATAAGTTTACACCCATACATGGAGGTTGGATGGCCGAATGGTTAGCACGCGCTGTATCATGCGGTCCGTCATTGAGTCAACTGGCGGGGTTTCGATTCCCCGGTTGTATGTGACAAGGAGTAGGGTTGCCTGTCCAACCTCGTGGGTTTTCTCTGGGTCCTCCGGTTTCCTCCCACTGCGAAAGACCCCTACGTGCAAGCAAATTACTGAAATAAAATCGAACCATGTGTTAGTCCCAAAATGACCTAGTTTGTGTCGAGTGGAAGTTAAACCCCATTTCTCTCTCTCTCTTACACCCATACATGTTTTTATCATCTACTAGCAGGATACCCGGCTTCGCTCGGGGGTCATACATGTAACTCCGAAACCGGTAGACTAACGCCACCTGGCCTATGTTACTCCCCGGTCCGAGCTACCCCTATACCCCAAATTTCAGACTCATGGCAGACCTAGTGCAGCCGCCAACCCCGAACAGACAGACTTCACTCGGGGGTCATAACTCCGAAACCGGAAGTGGTAGACTAACGCCACCTGGCCTATGTTACTCCCCGGTCCGAGCTACCCCTATACCCCAAATTTCAGACTCGGCCCAGACCTAGTGTAGCCGCCAACCCCGAACAGACCGGCTTCGCTCAGGGGTCATAACTCCGAAACCAGAAGTGGTAGACTAACGCCACCTGGCCTATGTTACTCCCCGGTCCGAGCTACCCCTGTACCCCAAATTTCAGACTCGGGGCAGATGTAGCCGCCAACCCCGAACAGACTTCGCTCGGGGGTCATAACTCCGAAACCGGAAGTGGTAGACTAATGCCACCTGGCCTATGTTAATCCCCGGTCCGAGCTACCCCTATACCCCAAATTTCAGACTCGGGGCAGACGAGACCTAGTGTAGCTGCCAACCCCGAACAGACCGGCTTCGCTCAGGGGTCATAACTCCGAAACCGGAAATGGTAGACTAACGCCACCAGGCCTCTGTTACTCCCGGTCCGAGCTAACCCTATACATCAAATTTCAGACTCGGGGCAGACCTAGTGTAGCCGCCAACCCCGAACAGACAGACAGACGACAGTCACAAATATATATATATAGATTATATCATACCTTAAATGTGGATTGGTGTGATATTTTTCTGCCTCAGCAATAAGTTTCACTCGCTGTAATGGCTTCATAAATTTCTCTTTTGCAACTGTACCGGATAAATATTCAATTGCCATCTGTGGGAATCGGATGTGATTAAGGATCTGTGATAATTTTTCCTTTCTTTTCTCTTCGTTTTCATGATACCAACTCACAACAGCTTCAAAGATCTTTTCCTCTGATGATATGCTTAAGTAGGTCTTACTTATGAGGTTGCAAACTAAATCACTTCGCAGCAACAAAAAAACATCATTTTTAACGATATCTTCAAAATGCTCTGCAGTCTTCGCCAATGCCTTGTCTAGTAATTTTGGACAATTATATAAATCCGCCAAACGAAAATACTCCAGGCAGTTTTCTGAATCTAAGTCATATAATAACTGTTCTATGAGCGTTGATTTTAAGGAATTTATTTGAAGAAAATCAGTGATTTGAAAGAGTTTTTCAGCATGTGATGAATCAACAGTATCAGTAACGCAATAAATAAATTGCAAGACTTCTTCAAATGTGTCACAGTCAGTATCTAAAGGTAATGTTAATTCATCTTGAGTTGCTTCTTTAAAATTTGACGAAAACAATGTCTCATAGTAAACTGACATGCTTGCAAGAATAACTCGATGACATTTGAATTTTTTGCCAGAAACGTTTATGGTAATGTCTGTAAGAGTGCCTTGTTCAAAAAATCTCCTGAATGATAAACGAAGTTGTTTTGTGTGTTCATCTTTCAAAAATGAAAACATGATAATTCTTCATTTGTTTACTATTTACACTAATTTTAATAGATCAAGATCTAATTTGAATACTGGTTTAGTCTTGAACCCCGAAAACAGATTTGAGAACAGCTTCTTCTACCCGGAACTTCTTTACACTAGCATGATAACAAACCAAAGACCTTTTCTATGAATGAGGTAAACAAAGAGATAAAATAAGTGCAATGAAAATAAAGCTGGCAGAAACCATTTCAGCATTCATCGTTCTTCATTCAATCGCTCGTGTTTGCACAAAACATGCAAGAAAGAAAGTGTATTTTCTTCTAACCGGATCTGTCATCCAAGGGCAGTAACCAAACCAAACAATTATGACGCGAACATCCAGGCACTTTTCCCGCGTCTTTTAGATGTTGGGCGTTATCCTACATTCTCAGTTTTATCTCTGGAATATAAATGTTTTAAATAAAATGATTTGAGACGCTCATATTTTCATGTGGACGTATTACATCGTCGCACCTTTCCGTTCGCCTGACCGCCTTTATGACACACTAGCACAGGTCATAATTTTTATGCGATTTTTTTAGTAAACTCAAAAGATCTCGGTTAGATTCGATTTTGACACATAGGTCATAACTTTAGAGAAATGGGGTTTAACGTCTACTCGACACACAAACTAAGTCATCGGGACTTTAACATATGGTTCAATTTTATTTCAATAATTCGCATGCGCGTAGGGGTCTTTAGCAGTGGGAGGAAACCGGAGGACCCGGAGAAAACCCACGAGGTTGTACAGGCGACATTACTCCTTGCGCATCGCTCTGCTACCGGTACATAAAAAAATTGTAAAACAACACTTTTATGAGATGATGGAATGGGATGAACATTCAAAGCGCGAGATAATGATATAGGCATATATGTGATATCACAATTAATGCTTTCCATCAATGAAACATACTCCTCGCAGTGTATCGTTTGATTATAATTAATCCCTCTCAAGCACTGCCGTAATGAAAGCAAATTTCTGTTCCAAATCATGACTGGTCAATAGTCCGATTAATAACCATGCAATGCCTCACACTGATCAGAAGTGAATATTCGCTAGGCCGCTACAATCACTGATAAGGATCGATGACATTAATGCGACTTAATGAGTCCCAAATATTAACTCCCCCCCCCCCACTCGACAAATTAAATTCTAAAACATGTTTTTATTTGAACAATAAATAAAGACGTTTGAAGTATTTTTAGGTACAAATTATTCCCTATTTAATGTAAATGAGTATTACAATGAGTAAAAGGCAACATTTTGCCTGAACCAGTAAACAATTCAAGCCATTGAGCCAATGATTGACGCCACGTGATGTGACGTCACGTGTCGAAACAGACATCTGTTTCAGAGATATTAGAAGATCTCTGTGAAACAGATTGGCCAGATAGGCCAGAAGCTGGGCCAGATATTTATGACTTTTTGTTCCATCCATCGGTGTTGTGGCTAAAAATATTTTTAAAAATTCTTAAGTATCCAAGTTGCCGAAACGAGTTTATATGCGCGAAAAACCTACTAACAGGTATCCAAATTATTTTCATATTTAGGATTTAATTTTGGCGCGGATTCAGCGATGACAACTGGCAAATAACTGCTGACCGTCTTATCAGCCAATGAAATCGCTGCAATTTCCAGAATGACGTTCTTTACGGAAAATACATAATCAGAATTGAAAACCAAGAAAATGACATGTTCATAGGCGTAGGAGCCGGCCCCACCCCCCACCCCCCCCCCCCCGAAAAAAAAAAAAATATTTTCGGGCAATGAAAAATTCGACGACTTTTTTTTTCTATTAACGTTTAGAGAAATAATATAACTAACTTATTTCTATGAGATCCACACTGCCCGAAAAGTATTTTCTCGTCTTTTTCTTGTCCACTGCATGCCCGAAAATATACCCGAAGCTCTCTTATGATATGTATGCCCGAAAAAACGGTATTGATTTCGGGCAATTTTCTCTTATGCCCCCCTGAATTACTTTGAGCTCCTACGCCTATGGACATGTTTAGTGCATTAGACCAAAAAACTACAGGAAAAGTTTTGGGTTTGTGATAAAGTTGTTGGGTGGATTAAACTGTGTTCTTTGAAGGTAAACAAAACATCTCCTTTTTATTGTGATTGTTATTTCGTAGTAAAGTTACCCAACATACAGAAACTGCATTCATCGTTAATTTTACGTCAGCCACAACGTTGGTTTGTAGGACATAATATTAATATTATTTGAAACCGATTAACTCAGCATAATCCAGGCGACCGATCTGTAGACACTCGGGACCCCTTCTTGCGCCCGTGGGTAGTATACGTCCTGATCATCGGCTTTCCTGACAACGGTGATGACCAGGATAATAAAGATGCACGACGCCAAATGGAAAGACCATGGCATCACAGGAATACCATTCGTCCTATCCGCCAGATACGCACGCGTCAGATGTATGATATTGGCAGAACAGTATATTACAACATGCTTAGACAGTATCGTTACCTAATATGCCAGGACTTTTTATCGATTGCACTGGAACATTAACACATTTTAAATTCTTCTTTGTAGAGTGGTATGTTTTTGACATTAAAAAATCATTAATGATTGCGAGAATAAAGTAACCATTACCGTTTATAAGAATAGCCTCATGCTTAGCTTGTATGAAACTGGAAAGTCTTAAAAGTTGCCGCTCATTATTTTAAAAATGGATAGTGCTTAATTTGGTATTGTTGGCTCAGTCTCTCTCATAGACTGCTCGATATATTTAAAAATAATTACAAACATTATTATGCTGGTTACTGCTTATTCAAATTCGCTCAAATGAAGCTGATCAGTGCTATAGGGAGAAGCAAGGACACAATAAAGTTTCAATTAATTCAGAAAATTTAGACTTCTTATTGGAAACCTTAAGATGGATTTCTACAAAAAGAATAAATTATATGCATATTCACATGACTAAGTTATTAATCTGGCAACTGTTAACATTAAGAAGAATGGTGAGACATTTAAGGGACTAATTTAATTTTTTTTCTTCTGATTCCGGAACCTCGATTAATGTGAACTACATTGTTGGGTTGTCGGTAAGGCAGTCTAGACATCATGGCAATACAGATTTGACTAACATGATTAAGTACCTACATGGTGTGTTTAAGAAATATGCTTGGTGCCATAATATCTGAGGTACTTTGGACTTTTAATTCGTCGATTTTAAATTGTAAATATTAAAGGGGCATTATGGGAGATTAGATAAAAAGCTGACTGTTCTCGCTATGATAGCTAAAAAATAGAATAAATAAATAGCGTAAATAGAATATGCGGAAAATTTCAGTCAAATTGCTCCACTCTGAACCGAGATATTAGCTTTTGAATTTTAGGCTAGCCTCGGTCATCATGACAATCTGATTAAAACACAGATCCAATTTCGTTTCGTTTTTTATAGTTCAAAATTTCGTTTTACTTGTCTTTACTACACTAGGATCTGGAGGAGTTGTTATATAACAGGCGTTTTAGTTGATGTGAAAACTTAGCCAATGAAACGATCTGTTAAAGCGGAAAATGCAAATTTTTAAGTTATATTTTTAAAATTTATTAAAATAAAGCCTGAAAATAGATGGTATCCATAAACCTTGTTAAAGAATAATCCTATTAATCCTATAATTCACTATTGCCAGCTGAGAAATTGGCAAAAACATCATTTTCCTCTTCAAATTCAAACGTTTTAAGATAGCTACTCCATGGTGGAGAATAGAAAACAAGGGAGGTAATTGTGTTATTATTTCCTGTGTAAATGAGTTTTAAGTGTGAGAATGACACCTATGATCGTATAATTGTGAGTTGACAACCTATTGAGCAAAAGACATAGAAATAATTACGTTTCGACTTTCTTAGAAAATTTGCAATTTCCGCTTTAAGGCGAGTTCTTGGCGTGCTCTGCACGGAACTGTGGGTAAACCCCTAGAATCCAAAAGTATCAAAAACGAAACGAAATATGGATCTGTATTTTAATCAGATTGTCATCATTACTAAAGCCGGTACTTTAAAAAAAAAATAAGTCTCGATTATCCATTTATTGATTTAGTTATTTTTCCAAAAAATGTATTCCAATCCCTAAACATCGCAGGCTAGAGATGGAATCTAGAGTTGAGTATGGTCTGAAGAAGTTAATTAATGTCTAATTAATAATTTAGATAACATTTCAGGCCTACAGAAAGAGGCAGAGTTGGCGCTTGCATAATGTATGTTTAATAAAACTGGCGCAGGACTAAGTGGCTGGTAAGGAAAGTGTCTTGTCGGTCAGATGGGAAGGAAAAAACGACGTTCCTAGTACGTAAAAGAAATCTGTAAAACTGGAATTCGAAATAAGATTAGGCCGAAAGCGCTGCTGGCCGGACAACATTTCACTGATCATAGCACACTGTATGACATATGCCCAACTTCATTAGCCCTGTTCAAATTTCATGTGTTATGGTTACTTATAATTGCAGCCTAAACATATATTATTTGTCGTTTGGATAACACATGTGGGCCATATTTTGTTTCATAATGTCACAAGGTCAAATTATACAATCCTCACAAATGGTCACAGGACCTCTAGGATTTTAGATCTGTAGATTATGTAGAAATATCGCTTTGAATAGTCAACAGTCTACGATGAACAGACATTAAAATGGATTGGTAAATTGGACCACATCTGATCAATCAATTCTGTAATTTATACGGACTCTTGAGGGCATTCTCTCAGTTTTCAGCAAAGATTAGAACCCCGGTCTGTGTAGTGTGTTCTTTCATGTTATTGGGATTCTTTTAAGGAATCAGTGCTCGGCGCTTTCTTGGTAGCAGAAAACTTCGCTTCTGCAAAGGTTGAAACCACTGCTTGTGAAGTAGGTTCTTTGTTGTTGACCTTTCGTGGTTCTTGGGATTCTCGTAAGCAATCGATGTTCGTTGTTTTCTTGGTAGCAGAAGTCTATAATCGAAAGGCGACTGGCATTGGTCCGACTTCAGCCGGAGGGCGAAGTGAAATCACTTGCAAACTTCTTGCCGTCTGCTTCCGGTTATAGACCCATAGCGATCTGAAGGTCGCGGAACGCTGAAAATCGATAGAGTTCACCATTTTGATACTCCAATGCTTCACACCAAGGATTTGAACAAATGTCTCGTAGCGGTAAAATTCGATAGGGTTTCGTCCACTAATGATCTCAATGATTCACATCCGCCAAAAACTGCAGCCTTTATCGCGTTCACAAGGGCGCGTTCACAAGGTTTTAAAATTCATAGCATTCATGCTCTCGGGGTCCTAATGCTTCA